AAGGTGGTCCATGCCTTAGTCACCTCTAGACTGGATTACTGGGGCTGCCCTTGAAAACGGTCCAGAAATTCCAGAAATTCCATGTAGCTTAAGTCACATTGACCGACTATCTGCGCAGGGTTCCATACTTTGCACTGTAACAACACAACCATTCAATGCTAAGGCTTCCTGCCAAAATGGAACTGTAGAGGAGAGTCTACTGAACAAGCCAGTACCTGCCGCATACCAGTACTGCCATCTGTTGAGGAGTTACGAGGTGGAGGCATTACTTTTCATTCAACCCTCGTAGTTAGACAAATATTTAGGTTGTGTTCTTTCCTCCTCCCAGGTTACCCTTTTCTCTTCCAGCTTACTTTAGATCAGGCAGAGGCAAACTTTTACTTTTCACTTTAACAATACAACCGTTCAATGCTAAGGCTTCCTTCCATAATGGAACTGTAGAGGAGAGTCTACTGAACAAGCCAGTACCTGCCGCATACCAGAACTGCCATCTGTTGAGGAGTTACAAAAGTGGAGGCATTACTTTTCATTCAACCCTCGTATCACTCCTGATCCTCTTGTGTTGATCCATGGTAGCTGAAGTGGTATCAAAGTGCATTAATCCCAGTGTGCCAAAAAAAAAGTAACTTCCCCAAACTGCGAATACCAACTTCATCAATTACCCCCTAAAGCCAGGAACTGGCTTCTCAATGAAACACTTTAGCAAGTTTCAAGATGACTAATAAAACAACAATGAAAGAAAGACACAGTAGGAAAGCGTGTGCAACAAATCTTTCCGTTTTGTTGCCTAGCTGTTCTATTTTGTGTTTATTGCTTTGGGGTCCCCTTTTACTATTTTTTTTTGGGGGGGGGTATGCTTTGAAATATTTCTGTCCTAGTCTCCCCCTCCTTGCCTTACCCTGTGGCTTTTAACTATCTGTGTAAACAGAGCCCTGGAGTAAGGAAGCCTTGCATTCCAGCCCCATAATGACAGGGTTGCCAAAAACACAGCTGGGTGGAGACCTTGTGCTCTGTGTGCCTGTTGCGTGTGTGTTTTGTGTGTGTGTGGTAGGAGGGCCTTTCCCTCCTTAGTTAGAGCAAAGCAGAGCCGATCCATGGCACAGCAAAGACTGAACCGCTGACGCAAGATTGGGGCATGGAAGAGACCAAAAGGCAGAAGAGAGGAGTTTTTCTCAAACATGACTAAACGTTTCATTCTTGGGAGTGGCCAGGAACTTATTTAAAGGCTTGAAACATCTGCCTTCCCACATCTGGACACACATCCTGATCCAGAAGTACTTTCCGGCTTTTTCTGCACATTCCTTGACAATGGCCCACAACGGTAAGTCAAAGATTTAGGATTTATACAGAGTGTGCAGTTATTAAAATATCAGATGCCTTTGTGACTTTTTGGCCCACACTGTACACATGCATATGCTAAGTTTTCGTACTAGTTATGGTGACTTCTAGATCCTGTCTGATCTCCGAAGTTAATTTGGGTCAGTCCAGAATAGCACTTGCATGGGAGATGGCAAACCATATAGACCAGCGTTTCTCAACCTGGGGGTCAGGACCTCTGGGGGGGGGGGGTCACGAGGAGGTGTCAGAGGGGTCCAAAGACCATGAGAAAACACAGTATTTTTTGTTGGTCATGGGGGTTCTGTGTGGGAAGTTTGGCCCAATTTACTCATTGGGTTCAGAATGCTCTTGATTGTAGGTGAACTATAAATCCCAGCAATTCCAACTCCCAAATGTCAAGGTCTATTTTCCCCAAACTTCAACTTCTCTCACATTGACCATATAAATTGGAATTTCAAAGAAAATTGTGCAGATGAGCAGAATTTAAGAGAGATATAGACTCAGAATCAAAGAGTTGGAAGAGACCTCATGGGCCATCCAGTCCAACCCCCTGCCAAGAAGCAGGAATATTGCATTCAAAGCACCCCCGACAGATGGCCATCCAGCCTCTGTTTAAAAGCTTCCAAAGAAGGAGCCTCCACCACTCACTGGGGCAGAGAGTTCCACTGCTGAACGGCTCTCACAGTCAGGAAGTTCTTCCTCATGTTCAGATGGAATCTCCAGATGGTGAACTATAACTCCCAAACTCAAGGTCAATACCCACCAAACCCTTCCAGTATTTTCTGTAGGTCATGCGTGCCAAGGTTGGTTCAATTCCATCGTTGGTAGAGTTCAGAATGCTCTTTGATTGTAGGCGAAGTATAAATCCCAGCAACTACAACACCCAAGTGACAAAATAAATCCCCCCCAACCCCACGTGTCGGGTATTTGTGCCCAGTTTGGTCCAGGGAATGAAAATACATTCTGCATGTCGGATATTTGCATTACAATACATAACAGTAGCCAAATTACAGTTATAAAGTAGCAATGAAAATAATGTTATGGTTGGGGGTCACCACAACATGAGGAACTGGATTAAGGGGTCGCGGCACTAGGAAAGTTGAGAAACACTGATATAGACTGGGTGCATTTACATCAGGCATGGGCAAGCTTCGGCCCTCCAGGTGTTTTGGACTTCAACTTCCAAAATTCCTACCCTCCTACCGACTGTTAGGAATTGTGGGAGTTAAAGTCCAAAACACCTGGAGGGCCAAAGCTTGCCCATGCCTCCTCTAGATCGTAAAATTAACACACTTTGACACCACTTTAACTGTCATGGCTCAATGCTGGGGAATCCTGGGAGTTGTAGTTTTGCAAGGTCTTGAATTACAATACCCAGGACACCATAACACAGAGCCGTGAAGTGACACCAAATTGCATTGATTTTACACCCCATGTTTCACAGGAAGGAAGTGGCAAAACCATCTCTGGGTTGCCTTTGCCTGAGAAAACCTTACGAAATTCATGAGTTTGCTGTAAGTCAACAAGACACCTTTATTTTTAGTAATGTGTCACCCATTCAAAGTTAGTAGCTAGCTCATCGCTTAACTGCGGGGAGAAACAAATGGTTCAATACACAAAGGAAGTATTTTCTTTCTCAAGTTTCCGCTCTGGGGAAATATTTGAAAGACAATTTTAAAGGCATTGAAGGAGAGTCTTTGGCAACACTGGTTTTGTAATTATCATTTTGTTTGTTTATATTTGGATCTCTGATAATTTACATATCTTGGAATCCCAGAGCTGGGAACGAAATGGGATAGAGATGTAAATATAATAATGACCATAAGTGTTGGGGCACAAGACCACTTCTAAAAAACTAAAACAGATGCAAGCAAAAAACATTTAAATAGAAACATATACAAAGTTGTCACAATATAATTGTAATTTTAGGTTTTAAAAAAGTTGAAAGCCTATGCGTCTGTGTTTCATATACTAGATTTATACCTTTTTGCCACGCATCAGAACCAAATTTAGCACTGCAAGGCCAATGTTTTCTTGATGGGGTGGCCACTGTTTTGCAAATATTTCTCAACCCTTACCAAAAAAATAATATAATTATCTCAGTTGTTCAGGCAATGTGTTTAAACTGATATGGGCTCCATCAACACTGCCATATAATGCGGTTATAACTTCATGACATGGTCTTGGTCAGTGTAGACTCATCTAGAGCAGACTGAACTGCATTCAGTATATGAGTCTACACTAGGCATGGGCCAACTTCGGCCCTCCAGGTGTTTTGGGCTCCAACTCCCACAATTCCTAACAGCCAAAATGGCTAAATCAAGGGTTGTTGTAAGTTTTTTTGGGGGCTATATGGCCATGTTCTAGGTGCATTCTCTCCTGTCATTTCGCCTGCATCTATGGCAAGCATCCTCAGAGGTATGCCATAGATACAGGCGAAACATCAGAAGAGAATGCCTCTAGAACATGGCCATATAGCCCAAAAAACCTACAACAACCCAGTGATTCTGGCCATGAAAGCCTTCGACAATACATTGGCCAAATCAAGGTTTGCCAGATGGCTGAATCTGTGGATAGAGAGAGCCAAATGTATTTCTGAATGAACACAGCTATTTGCAAAAGTCAAAAGACTTCAGCACAGCCCTTGTCCTATTTTTCAGCATTGGCATATTATTTTCTCCATTGCAGGCCTGGAGATTATTTTCATGGGTTTGACCTGCTGCCTGCTTGTTGGTGCCGATTTGATTACATCTCCTGATTTAGCAGTCTCTTCTTCTCTCTGCGAAATGACACCGAAAGTTAAGCTAGTTTTGTTTTGTTTTCAAATGCAGATACTTATTCAGAAAGTGCTCTGTTTTCCCCTTGGGTGCAGGCGGGTCAAGAGGGGCGGGAGCCTCAAAGGGAATAAGGGGGTTGTTTGGGCAGGCTCAGCTGGAAACAGGAGTGAATCAGAGGGGGGAAAGTTTTAAAAACATGAGCCAGAAACTTGGCAGAAGTTATGAAGGGCTGGGAGAGGCGTAGAGAGTGTGGTCAGCTAATTCTGGACATCCAGGCTGGAAGAAGGGAGGAAGGAAAGGAAGAATACTAAGGCCCCTTCCACACAGCTGTATGAAACCCACATTATTTATTTATTTAAAACTTTTATATCCCGATCTTCTCAACCTCCGTTGAGGGACTCAGATTTATTTATTTATTTATTTATTTACCGCACTCTCTCGGCCCGTAGGCGACTCAGTGTGGTTTACAGCCAGGTCAATATACAAAGTGCACAACACTAGCATTTAAAACAGTAACTAAGGCAACTACATCAATATAACAATACATCAATACATCAATATAACATCAATACATCCATATAACTAATCCATCACGTCTCATCAGTAAAGTCATAATCCGATTTCCTCGTCCATTATTCCAAGTTCCAAGATCAATCAATTGGTTGCACTGCTTAATTAAACGCCTGTTCAAAGAGCCAGGTCTTTACTCTTCTCCTGAACGCCAGCAGGGAGGGGGCCGATCTAATGTCTGCGGGAAGGGCGTTCCACAGCCGAGGGGCCACCACTGAGAAGGCCCTGTCTCTCGTCCCCGCCAGCCTGCTTGTGAGGCTGGCGGGATCGAGAGCAGGGCCTCCCCAGACAATCTTAATGTCCTAACTGGTTCATAGGGGGTGATGCGTTCGGACAGATAGGTCGGGCCAGAACCGTTTAGGGCTTTAAAGGCTAAAGCCAGCACTTTGAATTGTGCCCGGTAGCAAATTGGCAGCCAGTGGAGCTGGCGCAACAGAGGAGTGGTGTGCTCCCTGAGTGCCGCTCCTGTTAACAACCTGGCTGCCGATCGTTGGACCATTTGTAGCTTCCGAGCAGTCTTCATAGGCAACCCCACGTAGAGAGCGTTGCAGTAGTCTATACGGGATGTAACCAGCGCGTGGACTACAGATCGGCTTACAGCAAGGATTCGATGCTAACAGTACCATCTAAAAACATCATATAATAACGAGTTAAAATACTTATCGATTAAAATTACAAATAAGCCAAATCGCCAAGATACAATCATGTCCAACTCAGTCCGTATGTGTGGTCGATAACTTTGTTCTGTAGCCGGTTTCAACCATTACTCTGGGAATGCTTCCTTCCATAGCCAGGATTTCACCAGCCTCCTGAAGGACAGGAGGGAGGGGGCAGATCTGATCTCAATCGGGAGAGAGTTCTATAGCCAAAGGGCCACCACAGAAAAGGCCCTGTCTCTCATTCCTGCTAGACGCTATTGCGAAAGTGGCGGGACCAAGAGAGCAGGTCCCCACCAGAAGATCTTAATTATCTTGATGGTTCATAGGGGAGAATACATTTGGACAGGTAAACATTGAACTGGATTATATGGCAGTGTGGACTCAGATAATCCAATTCAAAGCAGATGTTGTGCCCTAATTTTGGTCGTTCTTCTCTGGACACTTTCCACCTTGTCCATATCCTTCTTGAATTGCTTTACCCAGAAAAAAACAGAGGGTTATTATTCCAGGTGAGGTGTGACCAAAATAGACTAGAGCAGGACTTTATGAATTCCCTCCATCTTGAAACTATACTCCTATTAAAGCAGCCTAGATTTGCATTGGCAGTTTTGGCTGCCGCATCACACTGTTGATTCATGTCATGTTTACCATGTGGCCTACTGTAACTCCTAGATCCCTTTGGCATAGACTGTTTTCAAACAAGGTGTCCCACATCCTATATCTGTGCATTTCATTTTTATTGCCTACATATAGTACTGTATATTTCTCCTTGTTGAAGTTAATTGTGTTAGTTTTAGCCCAATTCTCTAATTGGCTAAGGTCATCTTTGATTTGGACCTTGTCTTCTGGAGTATGAGTATTCTCCGTTGGGTTGTTGTAGGTTTTTTCGGGCTATATGGCCATGTTCTAGAGGCATTCTCTCCTGACGTTTCGCCTGCATCTATGGCAAGCATCCTCAGAGGTTGTGAGGTCTGTTGGAACTAGGAAAAGGGGTTTATATACCTGTGGAATGACCAGGGTGGGACAAAGAACGCTTGTCTGTTGGAGCTAGGTGTGAATGTTTCAATTGACTACCTTGATTAGACCACACCTGGAATATTGTGTCCAATTCTGGGCACCACAATTCAAGAGAGATCTTGACAAGCTGGAATATGTCCAGAGGACGGCGACTAAAATGATCAAGGGTCTGGAGAACAAGCCCTATGAGGAGCGGCTTAAGGAGCTGGGCATGTTTAGCCTGAAGAAGAGAAGGCTGAGAGGAGATATGATAGCAATGTATAAATATGTGAGAGGAAGGGGGAGGAGAGGAGGAGGAGAAAGGAGTGATGGGAAAGAAAGGGGGAAGGGGCAAGGGGGGGGGGAAGCGTAAGGGGGGGGGGGGGGGGAAAAACAGGGAGGGGGATAGAAAGGACAAAAAAGCGGAGGTGGAGGGTGACAAGAAGGGGGGTGACTTACGGGAGGAGGTATAAGGTGGAAGCCGTATAAATCACAGGGAGGAGGGAGCAAGCTTGTTTTCTGCTGCCCTGGAGACTAGGATGCGGAACAATGTCTTCAAACTACAAGAAAGGAGATTCCATCTGAACATGAGGAAGAACTTCCTGACTGTGAGAGCCGTTCAGCAGTGGAACTCTCTGCCCCGGAGTGTGGTGGAGGCTCCTTCTTTGGAAGCTTTTAAACAGAGGCTGGATGGCCGTCTGTCAGGGGTGATTTAAATGCAATATTCCTGCTTCTTGGCAGGGGGTTGGACTGGATGGCCCATGAGGTCTCTTCCAACTCTTTGATTCTATGATTAGCATTTGATGGCCTGGCAGTGCCTGGAGCAATCTTTTGTTGAGAGGTGATTAGACTCCCTGATTGTTTTCCCTCTGCTGTTTTGCTGTTTTAATTTTAGAGTTTTTTAATACTGGTAGCCAGATTTTGTTCATCTTCATGGTTTCCTCCTTTCTGTTGAAATTGTCCACATGCTTGTGGATTTCAATGGCTTCTCTGTGTAGTCTGACATGGTGGTTGGTTAAAAAATTCTAAAATTACAACAGCAAAACAACAGAGAGGAACTAAACAAGGACATCTAATCACCTCTCAACAAAAGATTGCCCCAGGCACTGCCAAGCCATCAAATGCTAATCAAGGTGGTCAGTTGAAACATTCACACCTAGGTCCAACAGACAAGAGTTCTTTGTCCCATCCTGGTTATTCCACAGATATATAAACCAATTTTCCTAGTTCCAACAGACCTCACTACCTCTGAGGATGCTTGCCATAGATACAGGCAAAACATCAGGAGAGAATGCCTCTGGAACATGGCCATATAGCCCGAAAAAACCTACAACAACTCAGTGATTCGGGCCATGAAAGCCTTCGACAATACAGTGTTCTCCATTCTGTCTTGCTTCTTGCCCCTTTCACCATACCATCCAACAGTAATTATTAATTCTCTTCTATTCCATTTTTTCAGCTGCTTTTAAAATGTCCCAGTTTCTCTTCCTCCTCCCCTTCCTTTGTCTTCAGCTTACTTTGGTTGCTGCAAACTGAAAGGGTAAATGTATTATGCACTTAGGAAAGGGAGAGGAGAAATGCAGGCAGAAACATGTCCTTCCCAAAACGAGGTGGTTGCTTCAGGCAGCAGATGCTGTCTGGCATGGGCTTCTCTTGAAGGTGTGTGTGGGCAAATAATCTTCCTTCCCTGGGCAAAATTTGACATTACACAATGGAACTCCCTCCCCACCTTATTTCTCTTAAATGAGTTCTCTAATTAAAATTCTGGAATCCATGAATATTCAGTGCCAACCGAACCAGTGACTTGGAAAACAAATCCCTGAACGATAGCTGCCCAAAGTGAGTGAATTGCTCCATGGCAAAGTAAATATGGGATAAAATAACTATTGTGTTGTATTCTTTTGAGCCGGGTGCGAAAGCAGGCAAAATATCAAATATTGGCAGAAGAGTGCCTGGGCATGAGGGATCCAGCTTTGCTTTCGGCTTTGCTAAGGAATGTGGCCGTCCCAAATGAGTCATCCTTCCAATTCAAATTATGAATGGCTTGGCTCAGACCCCCTTCTTGTTCCTGGCCCTGTCTTATGCTGCAAACACAATGAAGCCAATGCTTCTTCCCATCCGGCCTGTCATTATCCTATTAACAAAATTACCCATTGATTGTTGGACGAGGGGTACAGATACACTGTAGGATTTAATGCAGTTTGACATCTCTTGAATGGCTACAGCTGAAGCACTTCTACTATTTCATAGAATCATAGAATCATAGAATCAAAGAGTTGGAAGAGACCTCATGGGCCATCCAGTCCAACCCCCTGCCAAGAAGCAGGAATATTGCATTCAAATCACCCCTGACAGATGGCCATCCATCCTCTGTTTAAAAGCTTCCAAAGAAGGAGCCTCCACCACACTCCGGGGCAGAGAGTTCCACTGCTGAACGGCTCTCACAGTCAGGAAGGTCTTCCTCATGTTCAGATGGAATATCTCCTCTCTTGTAGTTTGAAGCCATTGTTCCGCGTCCTAGTCTCCAAGGAAGCAGAAAACAAGCTTGCTCCCTCCTCCCTGTGGCTTCCTCTCACATATTTATACATGGCTATCATATCTCCTCTCAGCCTTCTCTTCTTTAGGCTAAACATGCCCAGCTCCTTAAGCCGCTCCTCATAGGGCTTGTTCTCCAGACCCTTGATCATTTTAGTCACTCTCCTCTGGACACATTCCAGCTTGTCAATATCTCTCTTGAATTGTGGTGCCCAGAATTGGACACAATATTCCAGGTGTGGTCTAACCAAAGCAGAATA